TTCATTATTCAAATCCTGCTGAAGAGGTTTTGATCAATTGTTAATATTTAATTGTTAATTCACTGTTTGATTTAATTCTGGCTCTGATTTCATGACTGCAGTATTCACTCCTCATTAGCTCATTACCAGGCCACGATGCAGATCTATTTTAGTTTGGTTGTTTATTCATTAGCGAGAAATCTCCCAGAAAGTACACAACACATTTTCTTTCAAAATCACCACCAGTCCCTAAGGCTAAAGACGTTGCAGGTGAGCTCAGACATTAAGGTATTTCCTTAGTACCTACCTACATCCCATTCAGCAGCAGCTCGCTAGGAATGACGACAGACTGACTCTGCCTTCCTGATGGCCGCTGATGGCTTACCAAGGCTCTTTGCCCAGGTGCAATTTCCAGCTGAGGCTCAACATTTAATCCTTTGGTCCCAACAGCCTTTTAGCATTCTCCAGACTTTCACTAACTTCCAAGGAGTATTTTTGTAAGTTTGGGCATCTCAGTCTCGTCTCTTTTTTCCCAGGGCATACGCAGAGTCAGGGACTTAGCTGAGACCTGGGACTCTCAGGTTTCCTCCCTGCCGTACCTAGCCTGTGGTGTCTCCTTGAACATGGGGCTCCTCATTGCCCTCTCCACTGACAGCAGGCAGCTGCGTGCAGCATGCCAGGGCTCTGGCTTGTTACAGGTTATGGAAAATGGCAAAGTCTTGTAGGTAAGCTCTTTGCTAAGTTGATTTCGTGCCTTACAGATAGGTATTGATTTCCCATTTTGATATACACAAGTGAAAGAGAGAATAAAACAATGACATCTGCAATGGCTGTCCTTTTCTACATGCAATATTTTGTCCTCACACTACCTCAATCAGCCATGTTCATAAGGGCTCTTAATAACTGTCTCTAATTACGACTCACTCTTACTGTGACCTTGTGAACTAGACTCTCTCTTATTGCAGCTGCATGAATATTTTCCAAAATATATGGATTTTCCTCCTTTTCACATATGTTGTAATGTGATCTTAGTGTGAATTCAGTAGACCTGAACAATTATTTTCAGTAGGTTAGAGTGTTACTTCAGAATTCTATTTTCCTTACATATTGTAACGTTTGTGCGATATAATAATTGCAGTGGTCTTTGACTGTCGTGTTTCTCTAACCCCACATCCAAGCTTTGCCCAGAAAGGTGCTTTGCCAGGTGACCTGCTCTGACTCCATGAGGGAAATCACTGCTCTCCTGGAAGGACACACAAAAGGCAGCAGCATAAACAGGACCAGCCCTTGGGAAAGTGGGATGTGATTTCAGAGGCTGCCCAGACCTCTCCTGGTAGCTGCAGACTCTGACTCCAGTACATATCTGCAGCAGCAGCTCTTCGACAGCTGGCAGACTTTATCCCCAGCTTCAGCCCATCTACTTACAGTCATTTTATGAGCTTCCAAAGAGAGAAAAATAAAATTCCATCAAGAAGGTCAGATTTTCTTCCTCAGCTGGGGCTGGACTCCCACAGTTTGCTCTTCTGCCTCTGTTAAATATTGTGGGCAAGTGATTAATGACTGAAATATTCTGTCCGAGCACTCTTACAGGGAGCAGAGGACAATTTCTCCCGGTAGCTCTTGGGTCCCTGCTGTAAGATGCCTTTGAGGGAGAAAGGAAAGAGCCAGACTTGTGCCATCTAGTGACCCGAGGAGAGAGAGCATGTGTCCCCGGCCCCATCCTCTTCCTCCCTGCGCAAAAGCCTTTAGCCCATAATCCAGAGTCTTCAGCTGGCACTAAAAAGCAGATTAATGAGCATTTATCTTATTTTCACATCTTTCATGTGCAACCCTCCTGGCAGATTTGGCCAGTCCCTTGTTATGACTCAGCTGCCTCTGGTTTTGCTCTATTTTGCCTGAGAGCCAGTTTATGACTTTATTATTCAGCTTTTGACATGCGGAGGTGAAAGTCCAGCCGTGCACCTCGCCACGTTCCCTTTGTCTTTCGCTTCCAGATGGTCACCAAGCAATTAGCTCCTCTGCACTGCTCCCATTTCTCCTCTCTCAAGGCGTACTGACAACAATTTCCCCCACAAATCCATCTGCCTTCTAGGGTTTTCTGGGTTTTCTAGAGAAGTTTGCCATTTCTTCTCAAAGTCAGCAGGATGTGTAAGTCAGAGGATGAGTGGCAGCCAGAGGGTCACAGCAGAACGAGTGCTTTTCCAAAGTAGATGCAATTCCTGAGGTGATGAATGATAGAGGAATGGCTTATCTTTCCTTATAACTCTGGAAACATCAGCCAAACTGCATTAAGCACCCTCATTAAGGGCTGAGTGCTTACAAAAGCATAAGATACCAGGTCAAATCTCTGCTTTTGTAAAAATGGGAACACACGTCTGGAGAAACCTTGCCCGTTCTGCTGGAGCACCTGGGAGTAAGGGGGCAGGCTGGGAGAAGCAGCTTTCATAGGGAACAGTCGGTTGGCGGGGCCATCCCAAATACATTTGTAGAAGGAAGGAACCCATCTTCTACATTTCAATGCTCAGGAAGCCAAGGACCAGAGCAATGCCCTGACTGAGGCATTGAGGACTGAGACCCCTCTCAGGCACTTTCCTTCCCCTCCCCAAGCCAGAAGCAAGGTCAATTTATGCCCCTGCCCAAGCAACACTACACAAACACTTTTTTGCAGAAGGGGTGCAGCTGGAGCCTAATTTTGTGACAGCCGGCAGCTTTCTTTACTATAAGCCACTTAATGCAATTTTTGATGGAATAATTTTATTCCTTTTGTGAATAATTAAAGCACCCCGAACATGAAGCTGAAGGCATTCGAATGCACACTAGGAGCACGGGAACACAAACCTGTGCCCACGAATTGTTCTGCAAGAGCAGCAGTCTCCTGGGTGCGTTGCTGAAAGCCTCGCTTGCCCTCTGTTGGGTGGCTGGGAAAGGATTTACCACCTCAGTAATGAGTGCCACTGACTGGACCCCGTGAGAGAGGGATGCAGGGTGACAGAGGCATTGAGAGCAGAGCAGTCCTTGCTTGTTAGCTTCTCCAGCCATCTGATTATAAGGTGACATTCAATGAAATTAAAAGGCGGCAATTTATTTAGAGCCAAGCAATTAATAAGCGGGAGGTGGTAATGTTTTATGCAGCGTGTAACGCAGACAGCCTGTGCAGTTCACTTCCACGAAGGGGCGACTGAAGCGAATGCTGTGTGTAGGTGGGAAGGAAGCGATGGCTGATTTAATGCCCACTAGCAGGCTGCGCAAGCTGAAGTGACAAACATAATCAAATCTCATGCTTCAGGGCATAAATTGAAGGGGTTGAGTAGTGGAAGCAGTTATGTATATAAAAGGTCTGATCCTGAGCCGATTACCTGCAATTCTTACCAAGTTCAGCCAGCAAAAGGACACTCGGGAATTGCTCTTCTCCGCTGGCTAAGCCTGTACTTGCTAATTTCCTTATTAAAAAACCCTGTAATATTTTAGCCTGCTGGCACAAACATTCATTTGCTACAGTAACATTTATTTCCTTTCACACAAGAGTCAAACACTAAAGCTGCTTCTAAAATAAGATTTTATGGAGATAATTTGCGGTGGTGCTGGCAGAGAATTTGTCTCTCAAAATATGCTATAATTCTTTATCTAGTGAAGGTGCTTATACAGCCTCATTACAAGAATATGTGAGCACTTCAGAACCTTTAGTGGATTTATCTTCCCAGCTTCATTCCTGAGCTGGGGTACTGGTACTAACCCCATTCTACAGGTGGGGAGCTGCTCCACGAGGTGGGCTGGGGGCTTCCATTAATCTTTTGAGGTGCATAAGATGGACCCAGCTGCCCACTTTGACTGGAGCTCACGGCTCCATGGGCATGTGGTGCATGGTACTAGGTGTGACATTTACCTTCTGCACCAAGAGGATTCTGATTGCAGCCCCCAGCCCTCACCACTGAGAGATCAGAGGTAGAGACGTCAGGCAGGCTGAATCCAGCCTTCAGTGACCTGCCCGTGACAAACACAGGAAACCTTTGCCTTCATCTGGAATCCAGCTAAGGGGGAAATTCGGCATCTTTCCTCAGTCATTTGAGAACTAGGCAGGTTTATACCTCCCCTAGGAATGGCTTAGGTAGAGCTGATCCTGCTTGGGTATAAGGCAGTCTGAATGGCTTCTTGAAGTCTCTTTCCATCCTCTTAGCAGTGGTCACGTTGAAGAAAATGAAATTCTTTATTGTAACAAATTTCTGTAGCTAAGCACCAAATACCTAACCCATTAATTCATGTCTGTGGGGAACTGCCATGTGGGTTCTGGGCCATTCAAAGCCTGTAGGTCTGCAAGGCTTGGGGCAAGAGTAGCTGGGGACAGTCTCTGTGAAATTAAGGAGAGGTCAAATAAGCGAACTCTTTTTTTTTTTTTTTTGTGATTTGTAACCAGCCCCTGCTGCAGCAACTCACCCCATAATCCTCATCTCTTGCTTTCCCTTCCCTGGCCATAAATTTGCTGCCTTTTGCACTAGGCAAATCTGATATGCTGTGCTAAATATTTTAAATGTGGCAAATGATCCTTCATCGCAGAGTGGCATGATTGCATTACAATGTATTAGAACAACATGACTTTGCCAGAGGGTGTTTGTTGGCACTGTGCCGAGTGAAGGAGACAGCCCAAGTTTGAGAAGTAACTATCAAGTCATTTATCAACATTCGGTCCTAAAACACATGGGGTTGCACCAGCTCGAGCAGCCTTAGAGAGATAAATTGGGAGGCTGAGCCAGAAACCCTGAATACAGCCAGACCTTTGAGGGAGCTTCTCAAAATCCAGAGCCCTATCAAAATGTCAAGCTGAGCTCTTGTGACAGATTCAACACATACTTTTGGCATTTATTCTGTTGCGTTTTGTCTCCCCTTTTAGGTTCAGATGAAATATGTGCTGATTTTCAATCTCTTAGCCAACCTATGGAAAGGGCTGATTTGATCTCACACTACTGTAGCATAATGGAAGGTCTCTGATGAACCAAGTGAAATCGCAGAAAGCCAACACGTGGCATCTAGAGCTTGTTTTCCTTCATAATATCCTCATAGGATGGAGGCAATTCAGTTCCCCCGAGGCTGAACCGTGGGACAGAAGAGGATATCTCCGCAGTCATGCAGAGGCTTGAAGATCCAGAGAACGGGCACTGAGGCACTTCACTCACTGGAGAAAAAGCAAAGCCATAACTGTACAGCAGACAGGCGTGAAGAGCAAGTGTGGGGGTGAGAGGGGTGAGCCTGGGAGGAGCTGCCAAACCACTTGGAAACAAGAAAGGCATGGATCTAATTTTTGAAGCATGGCATCACAAAGCCTCTCACCACAGACTCCAGATAGAAGAAGTAAGAACAGAGGAATTTGGGTGGGTCTGGGGTGGGTCCTCCCTGTGGAGACAGTGTTCATGACCACCCAGAAAACAGGCAATACCTCCTCTGGGAAGGGCTTAGTCTAATGACAGAATTAGCTTTATTCTTCTTGAAGGGACTGTTGTTTGGCCCAGCTTGCTGATGTTGCTGGCAATACTCCAGGTCAGTGCTGGATGTTACACATAGTCATTATAGCCCAGTCCTCAAAACCTGGGTACTCTTGGGGAATGCTGAGGGTGGCTACTGTGATGAACAGCGGCCATCAAGGCAACTTTTTGACAGACCTCAGGGTCTATCAATCAGTTGAGCTGCCTGCTGGGGTGGCTCAAGTAGACCGGTGAGGTCTTGCCTGAGTGAGAAATGTGAGTCATGTATTGAAAAGGGCTGCCTGACCCCAGGCACTGCCTGTGGTTGTGTATGTCGGGCTGCTGAGTGCCCCAGCGCTGAGGAGAAGGTCCTACAACACCTCTAGAGTTAGTGTGGTCAAGCCCTGACTACGCATCTTTGGGACACACAGGGACAGCATTGAGCTCAGCTGAAGGTACAGCTGGGGAAAAGCAGATGTGGCTTGCTTAAACTCTCCATCCCATGGTCTGAACATCCCCCCAAGATACCTGAGCTGGGCGCCCCACTGTTCACCAGAAACACAACACCCAGCAGCAGCCCAGCTCCTTGTCAAGCCTGGCCACCTCTTACTGGGCTATGAATGGGCCACAAGAACCCCACCGGGGCCAGTGGGACCTTGTGGCAGGTAGGGAGAAGACTAACCACAAAAGGCATCCGAGCTGCTGAGTGCAAAGACAGCCAAGGTGTGTCGGGGCGGGGGGCAGCTCCTCCGCTTCAGCCAGCAACGCAGGCAGCAGCAGATCCCGCAGGACAGGAGCGAGGCCAGGAAAAACAACATCAGGAACCTGAGGCAGAGGCAGCAGGGGAGGAACAGTACCATCATCATCTGCAGGCAGTGCTGACAGATGGCTACATGTCTTCAAATTAACATATTCATTAACATCTTTTGCAAATAGATATTAAATGTTGCAGTTTCCCCATCAATGTACAGGACATGATCAAAGTCTCCAGAAACCAATGTCTCAGTGCTGAGGGCTCAGCGCCGAGTGCTAGCTGGAAATTCAAACATTTCTCCCCAAAATCATTCATCGTTTTTTCCCAGCTCAGTTGTCAGTGTACAGTAAGGAGGATGTGGATAAATGGTTCCCATTAGTCAGTAAAGACAGAACACAGGGACAGCCCAGGAGCAATGCTCTCTAGCTATCAGTCTCTCTTAATGCCTTTCTCTCTATATATCCATCAAAGGATATTATTTGCCAGTTTTTCCCTCTAAAACAGATCTGAAACTTACCACACATACCAGCTGCTAAAGTTTTCATCACTCTGCCTGACGCACCTAACAAGGGAAAAAATAAAAGGAACTTTCAGTCCAGTGTGAGGGGACCATACTGGCTCCAACGCACGTCTACCAACACAAAGAAAAACATCATCAGTAAATAGAGGACTGGGAAGTTTTCCTGCATCAAGGGAACTCTATTAAAAGCTTCCCTACGTAGATGGGAGCAGACGCAGATCATGTACGAAGCAGTGTGTAACTGGTTTGCCTTTCAACACTGACACCCGTCACCAGCGTTTTTGCTGAAAACCCAAAGGGTTGCCAGCCTCCCTTTCCTCTTTTGGAAGAAACACCGAACAGCCCTTTTCTGAAAGCCCTTGTTCCTCTGCCATGCCAGTGTACTGGGCAGGAGCACTGCATCCTGGAAAGAGTCCTGGGTGGGAGCAGCCATAGGTGAGAAAACAGAGTCACACTCACCTCTCGCCGAGCTCACAGTTGGACTCAGAGTCTGCTAACTGAAAACACACATGTAAATCAGAGAGGGCAGATATTTTTTATAATTTTCCAGTATAATTACTGATCTTAGAGTAGGAAGTTGGAGAAGAAGAGCCATACGGGTGCTGGCTCCTGTGGGGATGAAGACCAGCCCTCTCCCTACAGACCGCAGGCCTGAGCTCTCGCCACTGCACATCTCTGGTCTGAGCTAGCCCGGAGCGAAACCGGCAGATAACCTTACAGGCAGCTCAATAAATTCAATAGTTTGCAGATGAAAGCGAGGCCAAAGGGAAAGCATTTCTTTTGATGTGAAAGAGGGAAGGATGAGAGCAGGGAGACGCAAGCAGTTGTCAGAGGCTTGTTTACAGAACTGGGCTTTGCTATTTAGAAATGTCTGCTGAAAAATGTCCTGTGACCAAATTCTTGGTCTGTAGCTCATTTTCCAGCAGCTAATTGTGAATGTAGCTGTAAATTAGAGTTGTTTTGACCAAACGTGTGCTTTACCCTGTTTTTGGGTAGTAGTGGTGCATCATTCCCCGAATCAGGTTTCAGGTATTGCAAATATGTGAACCTGAAACATGTTTTTCCGGTATATTTTCTCCTCTCTGCTCAAGCAAGTTTATTTTGGCAAGCCTTGTTGATCTCAGCCTTAGTTTCAGATTATCTGGGCAAAAAGTAGCCGGAGCAGTTCCTTGGTATGATGGAATCAAATTCAATACAATTTTTGGCTGATGGTGTTGGGTGTGTTATAACACTCACCCAACTTTGCTGCAAAAAATTTCAGATAAAATTGCAATACCACTGGGAAGCAGAACGAGCAAGATGGGAGAATTTAGACTAATTTATTGGAGAAAATGATTAGAATGCAATTTGTAAATCATTATTTTACTTTGGATTTCCTTCTGCATATATCCAAAACATGTAGAGATTTATGACTTTCTTTAAGCCAAACTGGAAAGCTCTACTCTGTATTAGAAATTCTTATCAAATATATATAATTGAGAGATCTGATATTATCTCTCTAATAAACAGGGTTTCTTTGTAAGGATTTTGTTATGCAAAGCTTGTGGCACTGTAAACAGCAAGAAACCATCCCACAAATCTCTATATTGTATCTGATCCTGTGCACACGCTGCCTTTTGGTCCCTAGTTTCACCAGAGGTCTTTAGGTTTGATAAGCCTTTCATATAAAACATTGTCTATAAAATTTCATGAGCGGTTGAAACCCAAATGAGAAACAGAGAAAAAGACAGAAGCTTCAACTCCTCCAGACGTGTCCTTTTAAAACCGAGCTAATTTGCCATGTCACACAAGCGCCTTGGTGCAGAATATTTTAATTTTTTTATGTTGCACTTCAACTGATTATGAGAATAACAGGTCAAAACTAGACAGTTGATTGCTGTGGTTACATGCACCCTGAGTATTCTTCATGGCTGAATGACAACCTCTGGATTCTCTTTTATCATCCTTCAAACTACCTCTGCAGAACTACCTTAGTGCAGTTAAACTGTAGCAAAGTGCATCTGCTCTGAGGTAGTAATCTGTCAATGCAGCCAAACACCCACCCATGTTGCTGCAGACCCATGCTCTTCCATTTCAATAGCCATAGACAGAATAAAGGATTAAGCAGCCATGTTTTCTCTGCCTTAGTTGGAATTGTTGCGAGCATTAAATCCTCCCCAAATTCATCAGGTCCTCAAAAAATTCTTCCCAAAATAATAAAAAGGGCTGATGACTAAATTCTATAAAAGCTGAAATCTTCCCCCTACAAAATCCCTAAAATCAGCCTGGTCTCAGCAAAGGGTTTCGTTACCTGTAAGAAGATTAAACACAGAGCTCCTGTTCCTGTGATCCATGAAGTGAAACACAAAGCTCCAGGTCTCTGCATCACTAGCAGTAGAAACGTGGGAAGAGCTTTGTTTGCATCAGTGCTTTATCCTCTGTAATTTGGAGCTTTTTAAAACTTCTCTGCACATAGTGCCCTCAGCCAGAGCACACGTTACCCAATTGGTTCCTTGCACTTTAGACATTAATGCTAGACAGGGAACGAATTCAGGTTTGCATGGACACACTGAAACAGCTGCTGGAAGTTAAAGGAACACTAGTTTAAGGTCAGCACCTTGCAGTTGTTTCAGTATTTTCATAGCTGTTTACAAATTTCTGTTGCTGAGGCTTAGTTCCATATTAACCCACGGCTGAATTTAACAGGACCCGCTACAAATAAGGAATCACTGGAGATTGCATTGTGAGGCCATGTTTCCTGCTTTCGGCTGCAATTCTGGAATTACAGAAAAAGCAGAGCTACCTCCAACCATCCCCCCTATGCACTGTGCCTACCACCTCAAATGTGCACCACGGATGAAGGAAACCCTTCCCTGCCTGAGACAACCCCACTAGCACCTCACTGCTGTTACGCAGCTGCTAGGGTTTGGTTTGCTGGGAAAACGCGTCTGAAAAAACACGCGCCCCCAATAATTCTCGTAAGGGATACAAAATTTCATTGCACAGTATAAGGATCGATTTGATTCTAATGGATAGACCCAGATGACAGAGTTAAACAGGGGTGGAAGATGATTTGCACCATAGCTCTGATCACCGCAGAACGGACGATCCCGATTTGTTCGGCACTCAGTAATAGATTGTCACTGACGTTTACAGCCCATGGTGGAAATGCACCATTAACTACGGTTCTTCCAGATTTAACACAAAGGGTGTTGCTGTGCATATGTTTAGCTGTCGCTCCAGAAGTTAAGCATTATGTTGTGATGCCATTACTTCAGTAATGATTGACAAAGCTGAGCAGCTCTTGATATACCTCTGTGGCTTTGCTTCAACTGAAAGGTCAAGAAGTCTAACCAACTCTGATACATCTATGCAACCCAGGTTTGTTATTTATTGTTAAAGTTTTGCATAAACCCAGTCCAAACCATGGTGTTCTCAAATTAAAGGCAAGCCTCTGAAACGATGCCCTCTGTGAAAGCATCTCTCATAATGGTGCTAAGTGCATGTGCTACACAGTATAAATGGTCTGAATATGTTGGTGTCCTGGTTCAGACCAATCCTTTTCAATTTTGTTCAACAGTAAATTGTCAAACCAATTTCTTAGCTGTTTTCTTAAAAGAAAAAGCTCCTGCAGTATAAAAATGCACACAGGCTTGCTGGGAGCCTTGTGACTCTTACAATTTCAGGCTTCAAAAAGGTCATCCATCAGTGAACTAATTTCAGATTTCTTCCTCTCACAATTGCTTTCCTCATGCTAGCACCTAGGGTACTTCCAATTTAGAGCTTCTGAATGGATCATCCCCAGCATTTCGGGGGGCAGGTACCACAATGAATGAAAAATAACACATAGCATCTGTTCTGGGTCTATTTCTAGAAGAAAAAAGGAAGGATTGAATTCTGTCACTGCTCAGGTTCCTGGCCTTGAGGCAAACTTTGAAGTTTTCTACTGGCTGGTCCCATACAGATGTTTCAAGCGGTGGTGGCAACTTGTGGAGCCTGTCTCTGTATTCTCAGTAATGATGTTGAGAGAAGAGAGGTGGCTAAGAGGGTCCCACGAACAGCCCTGTCTTTTGCTTCAGGCATGATCCTGATATTGAAAAGAGCTGCTGCTTCAGCAGAAAAACTCTGTCCATTATCTGCTGAGCAGCTTGAACACGTTAATGTCATAAAGAGCCTCAGCACTTGCTCTAAGGCAGCCAGGACCTGACCCCAAAAGCCCGGAGGAGCTCTGCACTGAAACCCATGGCCATCTGGGACCCCTCCTGCCCGGTCCCTGCCTACTGCGACACTGCTGCCTTTGGGGGTTTGTGAAACCAAGACACTCATCTTCTGGGTAGCTCTGTGTCCAAGAGTTATCGGACTGATAAAAATAAAGATAAAAATCCAGTCTGAGGGATTTTTCTAGGCTTTTTGTCATTCCTCCCATGAGGAGATAAACGCACACCTATGTATATACATACATGAAAGGCAACCCCTGCTCCCTCCCCTCATCCACTTACTGATGAAAAGCATGGTATCTCTTGCTTCCTCAATCAATTATATCCACCTCATCAGTGGACTTGGGAATCTGCCCTCTGATAGATGCTAACTTATGGCCATTAGATTAAAAATCTGTTATTTCCTTGTCACCTTATGTCGTTGCTAGGTGACAAATGCATCTCCCAGGCAGCAACAGGGACTACTGCAACATACGGCAATTTTTGATTGTCCATTATCTCTCCGCTTAAAGTGCTCGGTCCTTTTGATGGGAGGAAGATGTGCAGTTCCAGGATCATCCAAAGAGTGACTTTTAGAGTTGCCACAGAAACCATCTCTGCTGGGGAATGGCTCTTGCTGTGCTTCATGAGAGGGGATGAAATACTGGGAGATAGAAGGAATCTGGGAGAAGCTGATTTAACTTGTCAAATCTGGCATGGCTGAGGTTGGATTAGGGGTCTGAAATTCAGGAACTGAGCTCGTTCTTGTATGTATGTGCGCTAGAAGTGACAGCCTTTGCTGGCTTGAGTGTCATATAACAATTGTGAGTCATGCTTTAGGTTTGAGCCAAAGTTTCAGGGAGCACCCTGGGGACCTCTGTATTCTTGTGAGTGGGAGAGAATTTACTGTCAAACAGGAGCCCACACAGAGCCCCTGGCAGCTCATAAGCACAGCTAGCAGTTTAAACCTGTTTAAAGATCTTCCTTAGCTGCCTTCAGAGCATTTGGTGGCTGCTGGTGACCACTTTTGGGAAAGCAATCACCTTGCTAAGCTCTGACCAGCCTCCCAGTACAGTCCAGAACGGGACTGCGAAAGACTTTTCAGAAAGCAAGCAAGAAAGGAGAGTGGTAGAAGAGGTGGGACAGACACAGAGAAGGATATGGAACAGGATGGAGAGCACACAGAGATGTGATGTGGAAGGGAGGCAAGGAAAGGCAGGGCAGCCCTGCTCTCCACATTCTATGATTAAGGTCAACTGACAAGAGTTAATTAAGCATATGTTGGCTTTTTTATGTCACAGTGTTTTCACATCATCACCACAATCAATTTTTCCTCCAACCCAAGTCAGCTGGGGGCTCTCCCCTCCCTACTCAACTTCACCACTCTGGCTGGCTTAGTCTTTGCTTTTGCAGCTGCATCCTTGGCATCTAGGCTGGGCCAGGCTGCGACCATCCCTCCTGGCCTGTCCTGGGAAGACTCAGCTTGGGTAAATTCAGTTTAGCCCAAGAGAAGAGCAGGGTAACAGGGAGGACTGAGGATTGAACATCACCTCTCTGCAACAGGAGAACTAAAGCAGCTTCGATCTCATTCTCGCAAAATGAAAGCTGTAAGGAGCTGCTTGCTCCCTATAAACTTGCAGAGATGAATAAATCCAGTGCCTGGGAGAGCTATTTAAGCTAATGGCCAGTGCTGGCATGGGAACAAATGGGAGCAAACTGGCCATGAATAAATTGAGGCTGGAAATGCAAAGAAGGTTCACTCCATCCAGAGCAGCGAGGTTGTGGCAGCTTGTCCATGGGAGGAATGTGGGCACAAAACCAAACAGCTCCCAGGATGGAAGTCACCAAGCTACCACAGAGGATGCAACCACTTCAACGGGTCTTGCTGTTGGACCAAGGGAGTCCTTCCCCATTCCATGGAAGCCACTCCAGATGGTCCCTTAGACCCTTCAACCCATCCACATGCACAGGAATCAGCCAACGCTGCCCTGGGCTTGTGTGAGTGAGGAAGGATGAACTCTTTAAAACACGCCTTGGTAGAGCTGGCACAGCCTGTTGTCTTTCAAAAGGCTTATAACTAGTTGCTGCTCACTGATGAATACGGCCCTTTGTGAGCCTGTGCAGGGGACGTGCTGCACAGGGGGAAGGAAAGACTCCGAGCACTGATTTAAATGAGCACAAACAAGGATGACATTGTTCTGCTGCATCCTCCCCAGGAGCGAGGCTTTGGAGGTCACCCTCGGATCTGAGGCAACTGCAACTACCTCTGCTGCTTGGGATGATCCAGAGAGCCCTTTTGTTTGTCTTGGTGTATCAATAGGGAAAATCCAGTAGAGAATGGGGTCACTGAAGCCTTTGCCTGGCAGAAAGCTAAAGAAATAGGAACCTCCTTTTAGGTTAGTTGTTTGTAAAAGGGATTTCTTCTATGTGTGTGTGCATATCCCAGACTGAGAGCTACAGAAAACCATCTTCAATCCATAGGTGTTTATGGAGTCCTCAAATTCTTAAATCACACAATCATGGGAAATCAAAACTTTAAATCTATCCAAAGTATCAAGTCCACTGAATTGTTGTGAGAAATTGCTGTGAATCGTTCAAACATTCCTTTTCCAGTCCTACAACAAACACCTGAAATAGATAGTGCAACAACTAAAACATTGAGCATGCATGAAAGGATTTAGGAAGCAGCTTTCTTGCTCTGAAATTCACAGAGGGTAGCAACTTTGAGAAGTGCACCTTTCCAGCAAGCATCTTGCATATGCCCACAACTCTGGAAATGACTCTGCTCTTACCGTTAAAAATAGAAAACTGTGCAGTGTTTTACAGAGAGCTGTGTTGTAGTGGGACAATGGGAAGCTGAAAGAATTTAGAGAAGTGTTTTGTTTGGTTTTGCTTTTCCTCCCTTCTAAGTTGAGTTTTGTTTTGAAAACTGAAGTTGGATTCTAAATAAAAGACGTGCCAAAATAACAGGATTTGAGCTAAGCCTAGCAGTTGTTTGCTTTTACAGGAGAATGCAGAGCTCAGAAGCACATTAAGACCTCCTGCACCTAAGAAATAAATGGTAGCTTGGCTTCTCTTATTTCTGGCTTGGACATCAGCACTTGAGATAATTCCCACCTCTGTCACTGACTTCCCGCATAGCCACAAGCTTCTGTGTATTACAGCCCACCTGGAAAAAGGGTGTAAGAGA